ATCACCAACACGATGGTATCCGTATCCTCTTCGTCTTCCCATGCATTAATGGTGTGTAAAATGTTGAACCCCGGAACATCAAACCATCTTATCTCGGACTCGTCAACTGCGTACCGGGGAAGTACTCCAATCCTAGGAACTTTGGAGGTATCAAAAACGACTGGCGATCCTCCGGTAGTGATCACTTTGATGGGGTCTAATGTTATTTGTATGTCAACAAATACGGCATATTTCTTGGTGATTGCAAAGTCGTGGATGATAGATGGTCGACGCATAGAGATTATGGGCACGTCCGGGTGCTTTGTCCCATCTGCATCAAAGTGAAAATAGGTGAGGAATGGACGCACCGCGCTGAAGCGAAAAGCAAAGGTCTCGCCGGTTTCTGGGTCTATCTTCGGATGAGCTGTCATGCTCACGGAGAGTTTCTCATTAAAATCACAGCGCCCCAGGGTTTGAATATCTCCGTTCGATGTCAAACTCACAGCGTATGGGAGGTCAACCTCGCAAAGCGCATAGATACGATTGCCAAACAAAGCTAAATTGGTGTTTGCGACACCAAAACCGTTTGCAGGATTGAGCTGACCAGTAATGATTTGGGAAGCGAAGAGACCTGCGCGCATGGTAGAGGCAAGAAGGCCGTTGAAGCTAGAGAAGATGCTGGGAAAGAAAGGATAACCAGTTTTGCGCTCTGTGGTATATTTATAGGTCTTGACGTAGCGGCTGCAAAGTGTTGCTCGGCCTTGGGAGATCTTAACGGAGTGAAGCATGCCATCCCCTTCAAAATGGTGGTAAGGCTGCCCTTGGGGAAGGTACTGTGGGTTGGGGCCATTGTGAATGTAGACACCGTCAAGGCACGGTGGTAGGGAGCCTTGTATCAGCTCGCACTCGCACTACTACAAAAGGGGGTTATAGTGTCGTAGGGTGGTGTCGCTTTAATCTAATATAGTGGCGGATTAGGCAGTTGCGACACTAATTGAACATGACGTCGGATTTACTGTCGCTTATAAGCGTCATAAAATGTTTATGTCGCTTTCAAACCGACGTAAACATACATTTTAATAATTTTTAAATACTAGTGTCGCTTTTAAACCGACGTAAAAATTATTTTAATAATTTTTAAATAATAGTGTCGCTTTTAAGCGACATAAAGTATTTTTTAAATACTAGTGTCGCTTTTAAGCAACATAAATTATATATATATATATATTAAATTAAATTTTATATCCCTAAAAACGATAATAATTATATAAATATATATATATATATTAAATTTGATTTTAAAAAATTGGTGATCATTGGATTGGCTTAAATATACATACGATTCAATTTCTTAAGTGTTATACATACAAAATAAATAAATTTAAATCTACTTAATATATATATATATATACACACACCATTGAACTTGATTGAATACGAATTCTATGAAACTAATTTCGACAGTTATAAACGAAAAATCATGATTTAACGGTTATTTTAACTCCGATTTTGATGATTTTTTACAGCTACACTCCTTGACCCTATATGAATACAATGAATGGATTCGATCTTCAAATTAAAATATTTACACAAGTGGATACCACAAAATCTTATGTTATACTTAATGAAAGTATAAATAAACTCTAAGTGTTAGTCAATCTATTGTTTTGATGGGATACGAATTCTCCGAAACTAATTTCAACGATCTCAACCGTCAAACTTGTTTGCATATGCTTCGAGATTACATCAGCAAAAAATCACAAAAAACAAACATTCAGAGATCAAGTAACGGGACAAAGCTTTTCGACGGTTATAAACGAAAAATCACGATTTAACGGTTATTTTAACTCCGATTTTGATGATTTTTTACAGCTACACACTCCTTGGCCCTATATGAATACAATGAATGAATTCAATCTTCAAATTAAAATATTTACACAAGTGGATACCACAAAATCTTATGTTATACTTAATAAAAGTATAAATAAACTCTAAGTGTTAGTCAATCTATTGTTTTGATGGGATACGAATTCTCCGAAACAAATTTCAACGATCCCAACCGTCAAACTTGTTTGCATATGCTTCGAGATCACATCAGCAAAAAATCACAAAAAACAAACATTCAGAGATGAAGTAACGGGACAAAGCTTTTCGACGGTTATAAACGAAAAATCACGATTTAACGGTTATTTTAACTCTGATTTTGATGATTTTTTACAGCTACACTCCTTGACCCTATATGAATACAATGCATGAATTCGATCTTCAAATTAAAATATTTACACAAGTGGATACCACAAAATCTTATGTTATACTTAATAAAAGTATAAATAAACTTTTAAGTGTTAGTCAATCTATTGTTTTGATGGGATACGAATTCTCCGAAACTAATTTCAACGATCCCAACCGTCAAACTTGTTTGCATATGCTTCGAGATTACATCAGCTAAAAATCACAAAAAAAAAACATTCAGAGATCAAGTAACGGGACAAAGCTTTTCGACGGTTATAAACGAAAAATCACGATTTAACGGTTATTTTAACTCCGATTTTGATGATTTTTTTACAGCTACACTCCTTGACCCTATATGAATACAATGAATGAATTCGATCTTCAAATTAAAATATTTACACAAGTGGATACCACAAAATCTTATGTTATACTTAATAAAAGTATAAATAAACTTTTAAGTGTTAGTCAATCTATTGTTTTGATGGGATACGAATTCTCCGAAACTAATTTCAACGATCCCAACCGTCAAACTTGTTTGCATATGCTTCGAGATTACATCAGCTAAAAATCACAAAAAAAAAACATTCAGAGATCAAGTAACGGGACAAAGCTTTTCGACGGTTATAAACGAAAAATCACGATTTAACGGTTATTTTAACTCCGATTTTGATGATTTTTTACAGCTACACTCCTTGATCCTATATGAATACAATGAATGAATTCGATCTTCAAATTAAAATATTTACACAAGTGGATACCACAAATTCTTATGTTATACTTAATGAAAGTATAAATAAACTCTAATTGTTAGTCAATCTATTGTTTTGATGGGATACGAATTCTCCGAAACTAATTTCAACGATCCCAACCGTCAAACTTGTTTACATATGCTTCGAGATCACATCAGCAAAAAATGAAAAAAAAACAAACATTCAGAGATCAAGTAACAGGACAAAGCTTTTCGACGGTTATAAACAAAAAATCATGATTTAACGGTTATTTTAACTCCGATTTTGATGATTTTTTACAGCTACACTCCTTGACCCTATATGAATACAATGAATGAATTCGATCTACAATGAATAACTGATTATATTTTAGGAGAAACTTAATATGAGCCATCATTAGTTATAATCCAATTTTGTTTAATTTATGGGTTAGGTCTAGTGATTCATTGTCCACATAAGCTTATTTGTATTCTCTTGCCAAATTTACCCTTAAATTGACCAATTAAGTAATTACTGTTTGTTAAGTTTGTGATTAATGTTAATCTTATCCTTAATTATAGGATTAGGGATTTAAATCTCCTTTTTTTTTCTTCTTCTTCCCCAAACCGTTCATTCTCTTTTCTTGTTTCAATTCTCTTTCTTGTTTCTCCCTCACAATATCTTTTCTCTTCCTGCGTTATTTTGCCCAGTAATGTTCTTCTTCCATAATATTTTTCTTCTCCTCCTCCTTCCATAAGGATGATCAATATACATTTGATTGGTTTTTTATTATTATTATTTTTTTAAAGAAATTGCATTAGTCAATCTTGTGTTTTGGGTTCTTCGTCTCATTTTTTTTTTGGCTTCATTCTCCGTTTTATATTTTTTTTAACTTTGAAGTTCTATCGAATTAGCATTTTCTCTAGTGTTTCCTCCCTCAATATCATTTTTCTTCACGATTTTTTGTTTTGTTTGTATCTACCTATATCACTGGTCATTTTTTTAAATCTTTTTATATATTATACTGTGTGCATGTATCATGAATAATTGTATTTATCTACCTATATATATAACATATTTTGTTGATAATCTATCTAAGATTAATTGTGTTATCTACCTATTTATCACAAATTAATTGTGTTATCTACCTATACAATATGTTTTTGTTCATAGTCTATATGTATCACAAATTATTTTGTATTATCTATCTATACAATAGGTTTTTGTTCACAATCTACCTCTATCATAAATTCTACCTACATCACAAATTTTTTATCTACCTCTGGCAATGTTTCTTTTGATTTTTTGATAAATTGGTAAGATTAGTAATAATGTGTTTTTAATTAGAAAACGGGTAGATAAAGGTATTTGAAGATTCAAATTTTAAAAATTCAAATTTAACGAATTTTCCCGGTTTTTTTTGCACGGGGAAATGGGTTGGACGAGATCTTGCAGACTGTGTCAGAGTTGGCGTCGGTTTTAACCGACGCAAACTCTCATTATTTCGACGCTACACAAATCTATCAAGCTAACGTCGGTTTTATCCGACACAACCCTGTCAGTAAAAAAATGTCAGACCTTTCATTCAAAAGTGTGTCAGAGCTAGTGTCGGTTTGAACCGACGCAAAGTCATCATATTTCGACGCAAGCAATTTTTATCATTTGTCAGATATTACGTCGGTTTTGACCGACGTAGGGTGTTCATTGTTCAACACAAGTTGTAGCTACTGTCGGTATTAACCAACACTAAGTTTTTATCCATATTTAAACCTCGTCTTTCCCAGTACTTCTGCGCTTCCATTTCTCTCTTATATTTCTCCTCTGGTTTACTCCTTCTCCTTCTCTTTCTCCCATTTCAGCCTTACTCTTTCCCTCAACTTGTATAATCACAAATGGAACCCGTCTATTACACGCTACCTTCTGGGATCCTCAACCGCGACAACAGGTTTCGCAATTTTCCTCGGCGTCCGGGAGCTGACCGGCGATAACAACAGCCTGATCCTCACGAGATTTCTGCTTCACTACCTGTAAATCTCAGTTCTGAGAAAAACCCGGGAATTCGAAATTCGAAAATGTGAGCTCCGGGGCAAGCAGACACGGCCGTTCATAGAGTGATATTGGTGCGCAGAAAGGTCTTTTCATGCAGAGCTCTCTTTTGGGTTTTGAGTATTGTGCCTGGGTTTGGTACGAGCAAAGATCACCAACTTAACAGCAGCTTAAGTAATTTTTGGAAGAGAACAAAGACTGAAGAATCGATGGTAGGTCCTTTAAGCTTCAACAAAACAGGAAATCGAAAGTTAACCAGTTCTGGTAACGCTCCCCGCTTCATTAATTTCCAGCCAGGGGCAGTAAACGATGACCAACTGTTCCAAGTGTTCCATTTCAGCCATACCCCTGCCTCTCCAACTTCCAACTGCTGTGATTGTTAACCCCAAAATCCTAACTCCGCTATTTCTCCGCCCAGTGCTCCAATGGCCTCTCGCTGCAAATCTTTCTCGAAGCCGGCTTTCTCTCTTATCAAATCTGCCGTCAACAAACCAGCGTTCAAGGCCACTCCCATGTCTTCTCTCCCCTCCACCCGCCTGTCAATCAATCTCTCAAGGTACGCAAAGCCCTTCAAACCTGTAAAATTCTCAGTCTTTGGGAAATTTTCAATTGGTCATTGTCGAATTTTTGGATTTCAGGTCGTTTTCTCAATTGGGTTTTTCCTCAAATAAGCAAAGCTCTTGACATTTTTTTCCGATATTTTTGAATTTCAGGCCGATTCCGCAGTTGGGTTGTCTACAATCTCTGCTTCCGCAGTGGCAAGAATTTGAATGTATTGTCCATTTTGAAGAATTGTATCTAATTTTAAATAAATGTGGAGGATGAATTTTTGTAAATTATATGGAATGTTAGATGTAAAACATTTGTATATTATGGCACTATTTTTCTTTTGAATTATTTTTATTATTGTTTGTTTTGGCCTAAAATTGAAATTTATTATTTCGATTATATAATTTTTTTGAGTTATAATATTTGAGAACAAATACAGAAACAGATTTTGGCTTTTTTTTTTATTATTATTACCAAAGGTGGTGTCGCTTTAAACCGTCACTAGTTTGCATATTTTATTTATTTAATTGTTCTCTAACGTCGCTTTTATTTATTTAATTGTTCTCTAACGTCGCTTTAAACCGTCACTAGTTTGCATATTTTATTTATTTAATTGTTATGTAATGTCGCTTTAAACCGACGTTAACATCAGCGTCGCTTTAAACCGACGCTGCTTAGTGGCGGATTAAGCGAACAAAGCGACACTGAAGCCTTTTAGTGACGGTAGCAATGGCGTCGCTATTCCAATCCGACATTGCAGTGTTTTATGTCGGATTTTTGCCAAATTTCCGACAGAAATCGGGTTTCTTGTCGGGTTTTGGTCCGCCGGTGATAGCCTATATTGTAGTAGTGTCGGTTGGGGGAAGCTCTTCAGTTACAGGAGCATAGTTGTCCGAGAGCACGAGCCTCGGGTCAACTGAAGGTCGGAGAGGTGGAGGCTCTAAGTAGTCGTTTATGAAGTCATCCAGAGTTTTCAAGATCATCGCACATCGTTTAGTACCTGTACTTGGAGCAATATCGTCATGACAATCATGATCTTTTCTTGCTCTTGCTAGCAGCAAGGATGGAGAACTAGTGCTCTTTGGAGGTTGTGATTTTCTTGTGTTTGGAATGAGATTGTTACGAGTGGAAATTGTGGACGGAAAAAAAGAATGCAACGCATCCATCAAGAGCTGTTAGGAAATTGTGGACGGAAAAAAAGAATGCAACTCCCAGTCAAGCAAGTGACCCCTTTATATATTATTAAACCATTATTCTATGGGTCCCTCGAATTGTAGTTACTTTCATTAGAAAAATGACTAGTGTTGTTGTTCCATGCATTAGAAACCAAATTAGAATAGATAGTGGAGTGGGAGTTATGCATGACAACCGGTGTCTATGTGGATGCGAAATTATTTTCTAAATAATTAAAATGAATCTGAATAATAAAAAAACTATTTAATGTAATAAAATATTTACATATAAGAGTGTGGAGAGTTCACAAATGAATTTTGGTAAAAAAAAAAAAAAAAAAAAAGAAGTTCAAAGTGAAATAAAAGTATAGAAAAATATGAAAATAAAATGATAAAAAGAAGGCACCTAATTTTTTTAAGGTAATAAGATTTTGTTACGAAACTATCAAGAACTTAATTACAAAGAACATGCATGTCAAATGCAACCAAAATATGATAGACGCCAAAGGAAATATCGTCCCAATGAGTTATTGTTGTGTATAAAAAAATTTCGTAACATTATGTCATGGATTTGAAAGGTTACCGTAATGTTATACTTATCCATATTAATAATGTGACATGTGCCAATCAAGATGTTAATGGACAATATTGTTGTTAGCAAAGAGTCCTGTACGACTCAACCTTGTCATAGTTAGCATGATTATCTCTTCTGTATTATCATCTTATCTTGGAGTTTTGTAATCACGTTAGAACTTGTATTAGGTGTTATACAGTCCCTTTGGGACTCTCTGTAAACCTAGCAGACTTTATATATTTATACTCGATTATGAGCAATGAATGAATGGTGACCTCCATCAATTTTATAGTCTTATATTTGCAAGTTCTTCTCCTAATCATATATTTCTACAAATGTCCATAATGTTGTGTTAAAGTACCAAGGGGCCCACTCCCACGTTGCAAGTTTGCAACACCCACAACTAGGGCTGGCATTTTGAACCCGACCCGTTAACCCGACCCGACCCGACCCGTTAAAAATGGTATTTGGGTGAGTGCTTAACGGGTTGGGTTGTTAACGGGTCAACCCGTTAGTCACCCGTTAAGTAACGGGTCATTTTGGGTCAACCCGCGAAACCCGTTAGCATCCGTTAACACCCGTTAAGAAGGACTTTTGTGTAATTTTATAGTTGGAATAGAAAACCTAGCTCTCTGTGTTCTCTCACGTTCGAACCCGACTGAGTGGCGCCGTTCTCTCCCTCATCCTCTTCCTCAAAGTTGGCTGCCGTTCACTAAGTTCTGCCACCCTCTCTCCGGTAAGTTTCGAATCCCTTTCACCTCTTCTTCCATGGCGATTAATTTTCGTTTTTGCAGATTATATTTTTCGTCTTTCTCAGTTTTTGGTTGAGCTTGGTTTGAGTTTTTGGTTGAGATTATATTTTCCATTTTTCTACATTTCTCAATAATTCATCGTTTTAGTTTCTGGGTATCCTTAGTTTGTCAGGTTTGACGAATGGGTTCCGATTGTTTATCGGTTTCTCCTGCTTTGGTTCTTGGTTTCGTAGATTCTGTATATTTCGTACTTTTTATTAGAATTTCGTAGCTTTTAAATATGGATGTGGGAAAGTTGATTTATTTTTCTCTTATTCTTAAATTTCCATCACAGTACGAGTTGGATTTCGTTAATCGTTAAGACTATTACAAAAATGTATAAGGGGTGAGTAAGGAGATATGGTTTCTGGAGCAGCGATAGTAGGGAGAGATGGTGGAAAACCGGTTATGGCGGGACCCGTCATTGGGGTTGATCTTTCGGGATCCGGGTTTGAGGGACCCGGAAAACCGGGTGGAGGAGGACTCGCGGGAGTGATGGCCGGTGGAGGAGTGGGAGTGGGGAGGGGAGCCAGAGGGACTGATGACAGGGGTGGACTGAAAAGACGTCGTGTCAGTCTTGTGGGGGACGACGGCGTGTCAGTCTTGGCGTGCATTGCAGCGGAGTTTGGATTGTTTGGATTGTTTGGTTTCAATTCGAAGTCACTTTAATGGAGGAGCTGAGCTGAGCGAGTGTTATGGTGGTGATCTTGGAGTAAGATTATACCTTACTAAAAGCTAGGAAGCAAGTTGGAAGTGATGACATTGACGAGTGAAATGATTGAGATCAGCTAAACTAAAACTAAAAGCAACTGTATACGAGTTCTTTACAGGATTTCCCATTTGTGTTGAGTCCACAAATCAGAATATTGCGTAGCGGATTCGGTCAAATGTGATGAATGATTTCCTGGAAGGAAATCTAGATTGACTTCTTTGGAAATTGTGTCTTCGGTTTTGGTTTATGGTTCCAGACGGGTACTTGTTATTGGCAAGTTTGGACTCAAATTTGAAATAAGTTTTAGATGGACTTGTCTGTCTCTCGTTGTGGCTGGTTTGAGTGCGTTAAAATGGGATGTGATGCACTCTGCTGTGATTAGTAATTAGTTCAAGTTTAACGGATTATAAGCCTACAAATATATTCACTATTTTTAGTCTAAGTTTATGGAGTTGCAGAAGATTGTTATTTGTAGATTATATAAACCCTGTGTTATCATCTGACCCTATTCTTTACCTTTGGTTTGTATTGCATGCACCGTCCATTATGATCTTTGGGGTTCAGTTGATGTCGAATTTATTGTTGCAATTGATCATATCTATTTTGTTCTGTTTGGTTTTTCATCCGTAGGTTATTCACAACTCTAATCTCTTAGTTAGCATCGATTTCACTATGTTCCTTCGTTTTAGAAGAATGACATTGATTTCACTATTTTCGTTTATGATTAATGCAGATGGATAATGATGAAGAGAACACTGAGGCTATGGAAATGTCAACATTCAATCTAACAGATACGCAAGGTACAACAAGTGAACCAAGTCCTTCAAAGAGAAAGGCTAAAGGTATACGAGTAGGTAAGATACGTCAAAAGAGGTCTCGTGTTTGGACTTTGTTTGAAGAATTGCCTATTGGTCCTGATAATAAACAACAGGCGAAATGTAAAAACTGTGGGATAGTTTACATATGTGATAGTAACTGTGGGACGAAAAACCTATTGAATCATTTGGATTCGTGTTGTAAAAAACATCAAGTTGATATGAAGAAATCTCAAGTTGGATTGCGTTCTCCTCAATTTAATCATATTAGTTTTTGTGATTTATTGATTGAGGCTATAATTAAGCATGATTTGCCTTTTAGGTTTGTTGAATATGAGGGCATTAGAGCTTTGTTTAGATACATATCTCCTGATATCAAACTACCCTGTAGAAATACTGTTAAGAAACATGTGTTGAGGATGTTTGAAGATGAAAAGATAAGACTTCGAGATTGGTTAAATACAATTGAGGGAAGAATTTGTTTCACATCTGACCTATGGTCTTCTGCTGCAACTGATGGATATCTCGCACTCACAGCTCACTTTGTTGACAAAGAATGGAAAATGCACAAAAGAATTTTAAATTTTTGTCATATGCCTCCTCCACATACCGGGGTTGCTTTGTCTGAAAAAATTAACACCTTATTAGTTGAGTGGGGGATTGAAAAGAAACTGTTTTCCATTACTTTGGATAATGCCTCTGCAAATGATTGTTCTGTTGAGTTATTGAAGAAACAATTAAATTTTAGAGGTTTGCTATTAATGGATGGAAAGTTCTTCCACGTTCGTTGTTGTGCTCACATCCTAAACTTGATAGTCCAAGATGGACTAAAGGAAATTGATGGATCAGTGACGAAAGTTCGTGAGTGCATCAAATATATAAAGTGTTCAGAAGGGAGAAAAAATAAGTTTTTTGCTTGCGTTGCACAAGTAGGGTTGGCAGGTAGTAAAAGAGGGTTGAGACAAGATGTGCCTACTAGATGGAATTCAACATATACAATGCTGGATAGTGCTATTTTCTATCGTCGTGCTTTTCTCAATTTGGCACTTGTTGATTCTAATTTTAGTTCATGTCCTTCATTGGAAGAGTGGGATAAAATAGAGAAGATTTCCAATTTCTTGGGGTATTTTTATGAAGTTACTTGCTTATTTTCCGAAACAAATTACCCTACATCAAACTTATTTTTCCCAAAAGTGTTCAAAGTCCATTATTGTATTCAAGATGCTATGAAAGATTGTGATGATTTCATGAGACGGATGGGGAGTTATATGAATTTGAAGTTTGAAAAATATTGGTCAGAGTATAGTTTGATCCTT